CCTAGTGCATGTGGTTAGTGGGGTATTGCACAAGGTCCGAAGGTTATTTTTTGTGGCTACGCTGGGCGTTGAGTCCGACAATAAACTGTTCGAGTTTTCTCTGAATTACCAAAAAAAAAAATTGGTATATGTTGTATCGAATCATGTTATATTTTTGTATTTTGTTTTATTGTTTTTCCTATCTTGCATTTGTATCTCTCAACTTACGATATTAGTGTTGATTATCCATAGTGCAAAAATAAAAAAGTGGTATCAAAGTTAGAATGGTGATCCTAGTAGAACAATCATGATTAAATTGACGATCTTGGTGCAACAATTAAAATAAGTTGTTGACGATCCAACAGTCAAATTAGTATTCATGTTGTAGAAAACTCCATTGACACGTGTGTACAACGTGATGTGGCGATTGATTTCGTCATGCATACATTAAGGACGCAATCTTGGAATTTNATCAAATTAGTATTCATGTTGTAGAAAACTCCATTGACACGTGATGTGGCGATTGATTTCGTCATGCATACATTAAGGACGCAATCTTGGAATTTTTTGATAAAGTGTTTGGATCCATAAGAAAAAAAAGGAATATTTTCAGAATCAATGGTTGATGATTTTGGTTGAATTCTTCAAGTTATACAAATTTTCGATATTAAAGATGTTTCTTTGAGATTTGAACTCTCGAGTTGTAGCCTTTTAAGATAATGGTTTGAGATATATTGGGCGGACATCCACCTAAATATCAATTTGGTGTCTCATAAGTTTATGGGGTCACTAGGCTTCTCACCTTAATAGATAAGGAAAGTAATTGACCATTGAATTCTCCAAATAATAGGTAAGAAGCGGGTAAAGACGCATATGCAATGTAATTGAGACAATTTTTTGAAAGACAGATAGGATTGTGGCAACTCATAAGAATGACTTTGCACATGGTGTGATTTTGCATGCGGTGCTTGAAGAACTCAGTGGATCAAAATTAAGAAGGAGCTGAATTTGATGTAGTTTACACATGAGAAGGAGTTTGTTGAGACACAACGTGAGAATACCACATCAGATTAGAAAGAAATTGGAAAAGTGTAATATTCCTTGAATAGGTTTATTAGTGATCAAATCAATAGTAAACAAATTTCAAGAGTCTTAATATAAGATGAATAGATATATTAAACATGTGACATGAGATACAAGATCAAGTTAAAAATTGAATAGGTTTTAGTAAAACAATGTTATCCCTATAAATAGAGATTTAGTATGATGTAATCAATTAACAGATAACTAACTTTTTAGTGAATAATACATCGATGTATATTTTTTATCCGTGGATATAAATATAGTGCACCAAAGTAGGTACGTTGTATCAAACTACATTATTTTTTTGTATTTTATTTTATTATTTTTTCTATTTTAAATTCTTATATCTCAACTTATGATATTGGTGTTAATTATCAAGTGGAATCCAACACATAATTTTGAAAAGTTAATGCCAATTTTATAAATCATGAAAAAGAATTTTAAAAACTTGAGAGAGGCCATGCCCATTGATCAAAGCATGGTTTCACCCATGGAGTCGGCCTCAAATACATGTAATCATCTACTTCAGTTTGTCCTGGACTAATCTCTAAAGGACTATTTGTTAAGTGGAATTTGGGGAGCTTAGGAAGATGGGTCAGAGAAAAATAGTTCAAATGACATACAAAACTCATATTTGGTCAAAATTTGAAGTCTGGGTTACAAAGTCCAGTCCGTTATTGGCCCAGACTTTGAACCCTAAATCATGAGTTTCATCAAATCCATGAAAGTCGGGTTGGGAAGGGGGAGTTTCGGATGAAGGTTAACGGATTCAGGATATAAAAAAATAATTATACCTCATACGTATACAAATATAAATTTGAATTAAATTGGTGAAGGGGCAACACAGTTATTTACATATAAATATATTGTCATAGTAGTAATATATCTATGGATATACTAAACATGAGTATGAACTGAATTTAATATTGAATCTCATTTTTGTAAAGAATGATTTGAAAAAATCAATTCAAACACTTTTAAACAATTCATCCAAACAAGCTCCAAATCCCTTGATTATCCATGTGGGATAAGGTCCATAAGAACCAGCATTTTCAGATTTTTTTCTTTTTGCTTATTAAAAAAAGGTGAGGATAAATTTTGTAAGGGATGAAACCCTCCACTCAGGATTTCGGCTTGACCTCCGCGCGTTCGGGAGTACCCTTTACCCCTCTTCCTGAGCCGGAGCCCTGGCCTAGCTTAATGTGGGGAGGGCGCACCGTATCCCACATCGGAAGAGAGTCGTCTCCCCCCCTCGCATATAAGCCCTTGCACTCAAAGGAGGAGGTACCCACTAG